ACCTTCTCTAGGCAAGAAACACAAGAGAAGGAAAAGACCTATAAAAACGAACCCAAAACAATTTAGAAAATGGGAATAGGAACATACATATCGATAATTACCTTAAATGTAAATGGATTAAATGCTCCCACGAAAAGACACAGATTGGCTGAATGGATACAAAAACAAGACCCATATATATGCTGTCTACAAGAGACCCACTACAGACCTAGAGACACATACAGACTGAAAGTAAGGGGATGGAAAAAGATATTACATGTAAATGGAAACCAAAAGAAAGCTGGAGTAGCAATTCTCAAATCAGAAAAAAGAGACTTGAAAATAAAGACTATTAGAAGAGACAAAGAAGGACACTACATAATGATCAAGGGAGCGAACCAAGAAGAAGATATAACAATTGTAAATATTTATGCACCCAACATAGGAGCACCTCAATACATAAGGCAAATACTAACAGCCATAAAAGGGGAAATCGACAGGAACACAATCAGATTAGGGGACTTTAACACCCCACTTTCAAAAATGGACAGATCATCCAAAATGAAAATAAATAAGGAAACACAAGCTTTAAATGATACATTAAACAAGGACTTAATTGATATTTATAGGGCACTCCACCCAAAAACAACAGAATACACATTTTTCTCAAGTGCTCAGGGAACATTCTCCAGGATAGATCATATCTTGGGTCACAAAACAAGCCTTGGTAAATTTAAGAAAATTGAAATTGTATCAAGTATCTTTTCCGACCACAATGCCATGAGACTAGATATCAATTACAGGAAAAGATCTGTAAAAACTACAAACACATGGAGGCTAAACAATGCACTACATAATAACGAAGTGACCACTGAAGAAATCAAAGAGGAAATTAAAAAATACCTAGAAACAAATGACAATGGAGACTTGACACCCCAAAACCTATGGGATGCAGCAAAAGCAGTTCTAAGAGGGAAGTTTACAGCTATACAAGCCCACCTTAAGAAAGAGGAAACATCTCGAATTAACAACCTAACCTGCACCTAAAGCAATTAAAGAAAGAAGAACAAAAAATCCCCAAAGTTAGCAGAAGGAAAGAAATCATAAAAATCAGATCAGAAATAAATGAAAAAGAAATGAAGGAAACAATAGCAAAGATCAATAAAACTAAAAGTTCGTTCTTTGAGAAGATAAACAAAATAGATAAACCATTAGCCAGAGTCATCAAGAAAAAAAGAGAGAAGACTCAAATCAATAGAATTAGAAATGAAAAAGGAGAAGTAACAACTGACACTGCAGAAATACAAAAGATCATGAGAGATTACTACAAGCAACTCTATGCCAATAAAATGGACAACCAGGAAGAAATGGACAAATTCTTAGAAATGCACAACCTGCCAAGACTGAATCAGGAAGAAATAGAAAATATGAACAGACCAATCACAAGCACTGAAATTGAAACTGTGATTAAAAATCTTCCAACAAACAAAAGCCCAGGACCAGATGGCTTCACAGGTGAATTCTATCAAACATTTAGAGAAGAGCTAACACCTATCCTTCTCAAACTCTTCCAGAATATAGCAGAGGGAGGAACACTCCGAAATTCATTCTACGAGGCCACCATCACCTTGATACCAAAACCAGACAAGGATGCCACAAAGAAAGAAAACTACAGGCCAATATCACTGATGAACATAGATGCAAAAATCCTCAACAAACTACTAGGAAACAGAATCCAACAGCACATTAAAAGGATCATACACCATGATCAAGTGGGGTTTATTCCAGGAATGCAAGGATTCTTCAATATACGCAAATCAATCAATGTGATAAACCATTAACAAATTGAAGGAGAAAAACCATATGATCATCTCAATAGATGCAGAGAAATCTTTTGACAAAATTCAACACCCATATATGATGAAAACCCTGCAGAAAGTAGGCATAGAGGGAACTTTCCTCAACATAATAAAGGCCATATATGACAAACCCACAGCCAACATCATCCTCAAAGGTGAAAAACTGAAAGCATTTCCACTAAGATCAGGAACAAGACAAGGTTGCCCACTCTCACCACTCTTATTCAATATAGTTTTGGATGTTTTAGCCACAGCAATCAGAGAGGAAAAGGAAATAAAAGGAATCCGAATCAGAAAAGAAGAAGTAAAGCTGTCACTGTTTGCAGATGACATGATACTATACATAGAGAATCCTAAAGATGCTACCAGAAAACTACTAGAGCTAATCAATGAATTTGGTAAAGTAGCAGGATACAAAATTAATGCACAGAAATCTCTGGCATTCCTATATACTAATGATGAAAAATCTGAAAGTGAAATCAAGAAAACACTCCCATTTACCATTGCAACAAAAAGAATAAAATATCTAGGAATAAACCTACCTAAGGAGACAAAAGACCTGTATGCATAAAATTATAAGACACTGATGAAAGACATTAAAGATGATACAAACAGATGGAGAGATATACCATGTTCTTGGATTGGAAGAATCAACATTGTGAAAATGACTCTACTACCCAAAGCAATCTATAGATTCAATGCAATCCCTATCAAACTACCACTGGCATTTTTCACAGAACTAGAACAAAAAATTTCACAATTTGTATGGAAACACAAAAGACCCCGAATAGCCAAAGCAATATTGAGAACGAAAAACGGAGCTGGAAGAATCAGGTTCCCTGACTTCAGACTATACTACAAAGCTACAGTAATCAAGACAGTTTGGTACTGGCACAAAAACAAAAAGATAGATCAGTGGAACAGGATAGAATGCCCAGAGATAAACCCACGCAAATATGGTCACCTTATCTTTGATAAAGGAGGCAGGAATGTACAGTGGAGCAAGGACAGCCTCTTCAGTAAGTGATGCTGGGAAAACTGGACAGGTACATGTAAAAGTATGAGATTAGATCATTCCCTAACACCATACACAAAAACAAGCTCAAAATGGATTAAAGACCTAAATGTAAGGCCAGAAACTCTCAAACTTTTAGAGGAAAACAGAGGCAGAACACTCTATGACATAATCACAGCAAGATCCTTTTTGACCCACCTCCTAGAGAAATGGAAATAAAAATAAACAAATGGGACCTAATGAAACTTCAAAGCTTTTGCACAGCAGAGGAAGCCATAAACAAAACCAAAAGACAACCCTCAGAATGGAAGAAAATATTTGCAAATGAAGCAACTGACAAAGGATTAATTTCCAAAATTTACAAGCAGCTCATGCAGCTCAATAACAGAAAAACAAACAACCCAATCCAAAAATGGGCAGAAAACCTAAATAGACATTTCTCTAAAGAAGATATACAGACTGCCAACAAACACATGAAAGAATGCTCAACATCATTAATCAATAGGGAAATGCAAATCAAAACTACAATGAGATATCATCTCACGCCAGTCAGAATGGTCATCATCAAAAAATCTAGAAACAATAAATGCTGGAGAGGGTGTGGAGAAAAGGGAACACTCCTGCACTGCTGGTGGGAATGTGTACAGCCCCTATGGAGAACAGTATGGAGGTTCCTTAAAAAACTATAAATAGAACTACCATATGACCCAGCAATCCCACTACTGGGCATATACCCTGAGAAAACCAAAATTCAAAAAGAGTCATGTACCAAAATGTTCATTGCAGCTCTATTTACAATAGCCCAGAGATGGAAACAACCTAAGTGCCCATCATCGGATGAATGGATAAAGAAGATGTGGCACATATATACAATGGAATATTACTCAGTCATAAAAAGAAACAAAATTGAGCTATTTGTAATGAGCTTGATAGACCTAGAATCTGTCATACAGAGTGAAGTAAGTCAGAAAGAGAAAGACAAATACCGTATGCTAACACATATATATGGAATTTAGGGAAAAAAATATGTCATGAAGAACCCAGGGGTAAGACAGGAATAAAGACACAGACCTACTGGAGAACGGACTTGAGTATATGGGGAGGGGGAAGGGTGAGCTGTGACAAAGCAAGAGAGAGGTATGGACATATATACACTACCAAATGTAAGGTAGATAGCTAGTGGGAAGCAGCCGCATAGCGCATAGCACAGGGATATCAGCTCGGTGCTTTGTGACCGCCTGGAGGGGTGGGATAGGGAGGGTGGGAGGGAGGGAGATGTAAGAGGGAAGAGATATGGGAACATATGTATATGTATAACTGATTCACTTTGTTATAAAGCAGAAACTAACATACCATTGTAAAGCAGTTATACCCCAATAAAGATGTTAATAAAAAAATAGTGACAATACCAATTGCTGGTGAAGATCTCTCACATAGTGATGTTGGGATAGAAAATGGTACAGAAAGTTTGGAAAAGAGTTTGACAGTTTCTTAAAAATAATTAAACCAACATTTATCATAGGACCTAGCAATCGTACTCCTGGGCATTTATCCCAGAGAATAAAATCTTATGTCCATGCAAATTACCTGCATAGAAATGCACACAGTCATTTATTTGTAATAGTCAAAACCTGGAAACAACCAAAATGTTCCTCAATAAACATTAATCAAACTTTTGTCTATCCATACCATGGAAGATTGCTTAGCAATAAAAAAAGCAAACTACTGATACAGGCAACAACTTGAATGGATCTCAAAATCATTTTGCTGAGGGAAGAAAAGCCAATCTCAAAAGGTCACGTACTGAATGAGTGCACATACGCAACATTCTCAAAATGACAAAAATACGGAAATAGAGACCAAATTAGTGGCTGATGGGTTAGAAATTTTGGAGGAGGGGAATCTTCATGGTGATAAAACAGTTCTGCATCTCAATTATAGTGGTCATTACACAGATCCACACATGACAAGATGATGTGGAGCCACGTACACACACTGTACCAATGTCAACTCCTGGTTTGATACCCACGAATTGTGTGACTGCACTACCTTTGCAACTTCCTGTGATTTTATAATTATTTAAAATAAAAACTTTAAAAATATATTACAGTATGTTTCCTACTGGAATAACAAACATCAACACTCACTTCCAATATCAGGCCTCAGCTTCTTATCATATTCTCTCAGCAACTTGTTGAGAATAAGAGTCACATCTGTATCTTGGGATTTTGGAGCCAAGACCCACTTTTGGTTTGATGAAGAATCTTCATATTCATCCTCTTCCACCTTTCTGGATCTGTAATTACGGCACAAAGTATGACATATAAGTTGTAGCAATGGCTCCAGGAAGTGTCAAGCTTTGGCTCACCCAAGCACCACTGAAATAGGTAGAAAGGCCCTAGTACACTCATCCCAACCAATAGATTATCTCTAAAATTAAAAAAGTAAAACAAAACACAAATAAGAAAGAATCCAACAAGAATGATAGTACTATTAACATAGCATGATGTTTTCATTAAATGTCACAAAATGATTCCATGTCCATGTTAAACCATAGACATCATAATAACTCAATGCATGAAGGCCAACCAGCAGAGTCAGCCTTCCTTGGATCAACCTTGAGAACCTCTGAAGGTCAAGGCACAAACATCTTGCTGTTTCCACTCCCCACTGCCAAGACCTCATTTTAGTTGAAGGTAAGAACAGCTTCTTCAGAATGCACTCACTGAAAATTGTTGAATCTGACACTGTGCTTCTCATGGAGACTAGCACCTTTGGTCTAGGCAGACACAGGGATACGAGGAGGTGGTATGCTTGGCCAGCACCCATGTGGGGTGCCAACGAACAGCGATATTGGTTGGTAAACACCCTCTGGTGATTTTACATGCCTCCTACCACACAAACTGATTCATCTCTTACAGAGCAGGCTAATACAGACATTAAAAATCAAAACCTTTCTAATATGTCTTTACCATTTGGCCCTTTAATAAATGTGTCCAAATGAACGCTGAGCATATCTGAGTCTCTCCTGAGCAGGGCTGAGCCTGACAGGCGCCTCTCCTGGGTGATACATGCTCACAGGAGTACTCGAATGGAGAGGTCTCAAAATGACAAGCTAGCTTCCTTAGTGAGTGAGGCCATCTCAGCAACACAGCCATCCAGGCCTGAAAAGAGCAGAGTCTTCTCTTCAAAGTAGCACTTCCAGGGGGCCTGCCATTTACCGGGGCAAAAAAGCTCATCACACAAACAAGCAACCTTCTTCCTTTATGGCTTGTCAGTGGGTGCACCGTAATGACTTTTTTTCTTCACAAAAGAGAACAAAATATAGAACAGAAAATTGCATTGAGGTTTATTTGTCCTGAGTATGAGCTCATTTCTGATTAGCTTCCCAGATGGGAGCCAAAATGGCAACAACATCTCAGGGCAGTTGTGTTCTGGGATGTGTGTCTTTAAGTTAGTTTTTAGAATGGTCTAAATTATCTGTAATGAACATGAAATAAATGAAAAGAATAAACTTTTTAAAGTTTATTATCTCTACTTTGTCTAACGCCTCAGAATCATATATATATACTTACATAATATAACATGTAACTATAATATATAACATCTGTATAATCTATGTATGTGTCATATGTACATGAGTCTTTTTATGAGTGTTAACTAGCCTTAACATAGATCAGAACAGTGTCAGTCTAGTCCTATATGAATATATACACTTACATGAAGTTTTGATAATAAATATATGGCATATATCTCAAAGATTGACATCTTTTAATTTTTTCCTTGGCTGATATTAAACTATAATTCTATTTCTTGACTGGAAGTTTAGAATAAATCATCCATAGGAACTATAAGTTGCCGTGGATTTTTTTCACACTGAATATTCACCATCAATAGGAACTTGTAAAATTTGGGACACATATTCAAGAACTGATATACTTCATTTCATTATTTGTAAGCCTGATGTTTTATAAATAACACTACAGAATTTTAAATGCAGAATATTTTATTTTATCAGGAATATTGTCAGGAATGTTAATTTTATCATCTTACAAAAAAGTGGGTGGAAGCAGGTTCTGCAGGACATGGATTGCTGGGAGCCAACCATTGCCCACAGGACCTGGCAATTCAGTCCACAGCAAAAACACTTGGGAGACTATGGACTATCTGTCTATCTGTCTCTCTAGACAGATCACCTGGGAGGATCACATACAGCATCCTCAGGACTCCTTCCAACTCGCCCACAGTGCGGTCCTCTCTTCCTCTGCTGTCTGTCTCTTCCCCTCCCCTCCCCTCCCTCATCCCCAGAGACAGCTCAACAGCACAGACCAGACCATGCTCTCCATGCCCTGTATCTTCTCTTGCCCCAACACTCATATGTTCACAGAAGGAGCACACTAACTCTTCATCAGTTTTCTGTATACACAGCCTTAGTTTCTGAAAAATACTTTGAGCTATGTCAATAACAGGTATTATGAGACTAATTCTCCCTCTAGCAGTCAAGTGGTGATGAGAGGGTTTTCCTGAAATTGCATAAGCTTCTTAGCTCAGTGTAGGTGAGGGAGGAGACAAAGAAAGGAACAGCTGCAGCATCCTCTCCTGCCCCTTCCCCTTCGGGAGGTAAAAATGGGACACTCGTGGCTCTGTGGCTGGGTTGGGGGGGACAGCGGGCAGCACACAGGCAGCGATGCTCTGGGCCGACACTGGGCTCCTCCCAATCTTGATGCCATGTCAGTTTGCTGCAGGACTTCAGAGAATGAAATCGAAGCTTCCCAGTGCTAGTGCCGGACCACCAGCCCAAAGGAAAATCCTCCCTTTGATGAAAACCCAATCTCAGGGACTCACCAGAACGTGAATAAAACAAAAATGTTCTATTTTTCTAAATTCTAAGTGGGTTATATATAATCTTCATCAGTGTTATGTTATCAGGATTGTTGGGTCCTAAACACCATCATTACATTTTTCTTAAAAACAAATTGGTGATGTAGTGACAGCTCAGCCATCATATAGTATTTTCATGTCTTACATATTCTCTTCAGCTACAAGGACAGAGACAAAGTTGGATGTATCTATAAACATAAAAAGGAGCTCCTGAACCTCAGAAAGCAGTTAGCCATCCGCTTATGGTATCACCAAGGTCCAGGTGTGACTTAATGTGTTTTAATGTAGAATAAGCTCCTCCATAGGTGTCAGAATGGGTTATTTTCTCTCCACGGAGCTGCCAAGCCATCACCATGGAGCACAACTGTCAGAGCCTTCTCTAGGGCTCTTCAACACCAGGAAGGCATGCCAGAGTGCAAATGAGAACCCTCTCAGACTTAATAACAGTTTTGAAAGGTGATGCTGGACATCAGATTACTTTACATGTCTGTAAAACCCATTCAAAGAGCAAAGACACTTTCAAAGGAGAGGTATACAGCAACAAAATTAGTTTAAAACTTGGATTTTTTTCAACTGATATGCAACCTCTATTATCAAGGCCATGGAATCAACCCAGACATAGAACATATTAAAGTTGTTACACCTGCCTTGGCAAAATGAAAGGATGAAGAATCCCCAGAGATTGTATGTGTGTTTGGGAATCCCTAGACACCTGAGCACTTCAAGTTAGCCACCCAGATACCTTCCTACTAAGCACATAAAGTAATGAAGACAATAGCGGGTTTCCTTCTAACGTGTATCTATAAACAGCTGATTATCTAACCCTGAACTGCAGGTCACTGCATCCAGTCGGTGGCAATAGGCAGGTCGATTAGATATAACCTCAGATCTGTATATGACCTGGGACCTCCACATTGTGCCTGGTGTTGTCTGCTTCTAAAAAGAGATACATCCAGGCATGATCAACCTCAGAGAGTGCACTCCTATCTCCCTTCCCAGCTAGCTCCTTAGACAGGAAGAAACTTCAGTTGAAGGCCCAAGGAGTGTGCAGCCTGATTGGAAGAGCTGCCATGAGTCTGCCTTCCCCAGCACACACAATCTGCCTTTCTCACTCTCAACTCTTAGCAAAGACCAGCAGTGTGCGGTGGGGAGGGCCAGGACTTTCTTCCTCAGGGTCTGTCAAAGGTAGGGAGGGAGAACTATGACCCATTCACATTCACGTCTTGTAGGATTTGTTAATGTACCTTCCTAGTTCTTTGGTACTTCACAAATGTGAATGAACATGCAAGACCTCCAGGTATTGCCTATTAACAACTGCAGGGTTTATAGCCCACAGGAAGGCTCTCTAGTTTTCTAGCTCCCAGATCTAGGAAATAAAGATGGTGTCAAAACAAAAGTGTTTTGGGGGTAGGGATGCCCTGAGATTCTTGGGGTGGTGAGCGGGATGGGAGGAAGGGAGCTGCTCTAATTTGTAAAGCACAGGGCAGTCTTCAAGTTCTGGGCTACAGATCTAGCCCGAGACAGAATTAAAGGAACCAAACCCAGAATCTCCAGTTATATTCACAGCAACAGTGTTTAACCCCTCTGGTCTCACTGTCTTTCCACCCTCATGAGCCATCTTCATCTCTTCCTGGAGCATTTCTAAGCTCCCATTAGGTGGTTGGTGTCCTGGGAGGAAGGTTGGGGTATCTATGGTGAGGTAATTTCTTACAGTTACTAGGTAGATAACATTATCAATTTCAACATGCTTGCTTTATAGGGGTAGGTTTGTGCATGCTCCCGTGTGTGAAAGTGGCTCATGTAGAAGGGGTGCATATGTGTACTGTGCGTGTGCTCGCAGGACCTGGGAAGAAAATCCTTTCTGAGAAGCAGGGCTCTCAGCTGTCCACCTTGCCCCAGTCCTCCTCCACCTGCCTCCAGCCCGGCTGCTCCTCACAAAGACCGGTTTAAACTGGGCAGGTAGGAAACCGTAACTCCTGGGTCTTGGGAAATTTCAGTGATGAAAATGATACAGAATGTTGCTGTGTGTGCTGTGTGTGTGTGTGTGCGCGCGCGCGCGCACAGCGCTGAAACACTTGGGGGAGGGGTAGGAGGTAGACACAGGCTTTCCCCTATGATGTTGGTTTTCAAAACCACCAGATCCTAAAAGCTTCAGGAGAAGAGCCCATTAATCTCAGAGTCCCCATGTTTCAGGCTGCAGAGAAGGCTGCAGTCGCCCAGCCCGGAGAGGCAGATGGCCATGTCCGGGGTAGATGGGACAGGTAGGGTGCCGGCCGACTTCCCGTCTCCTCCCCGCGGCCCTGGCAGGATATGCCGCAGCCCAGACGACGGACGGCGAGGCGCGCCGGCGACTTGGGGCCGGGGGACAGCGCCCCCCGCCGCCCTCCCTCCAGTCTCGGAGCCTCCGGAGATGCGGAGCCCGGGCGCCACTTACCGTGCGTGCAAGCCCGAGAACAGGCAGAGGATCAACAGCAGCTTTGGGGCCATGGTGCCGTGGAACGTGGGGCTCAGGGTCCGAGGCCTCGGGCCGCGCGCGGCTTCCTCCGGGTCGGGCCTCGCCTCCGCCGGTTCTCCGTGCCCTCGCTGCCTCCGATGTCGCCGAACGTGGCGCGACTCGGGTGCCGGGCCGCCGCGGCGGGACAGGTGCGGGCTCTGGCGGCCGGCCGCGCCCCCGACGGCCGGCGGGTCTGCGCGCGGCTCCGCCTGGCTCACGCGGGACACCCGGTCCCCGCGGCGCACAGCCCCCGCCCGCGCACCGGCGCCAGGTCCGCGCAGCCAGCAGGCGGGAGCAGGTGGCTGCGGGCGGTCCCTGGCCCAGAAGACCCGCGGCCCGCAGCAGCCCACCCCGCCCTGAGCCGCGAGCCGCGCAGCGCGCCGCTGCCAGGGCGGTGGGCTCTGCGCGCGCTGTGCGGCCGCCGTGCGCTCCGGGGTGGGGGCGGGGAGGCGGCCGCTACTCTGGCAGCGACTCCGAGGAGGCCCCGGCTGGGTGGAGTTCCCCCAATTACACGTTTGACAATGCGCGAGGCGAAGAAAGCTAGGTTTGAAAGGGCCCGTAGTTTGAGCCAGGAAGGGGGCGGGGCCCGGCGGGGGCGGGGGCGGGGAGGCTCAGGGATCCCTCCGAGAGCCTGAGGGAGGGCCCGGAATAGGCACCCGGTAGTCCGAAAAGAGCCCTCGATCCCGACGGGATGCCCTCCTCCCCGCAATTCAACACTAGGTAGCGGTTCTCCGCGCTCCCTGACCTCCCAGAGCGTCCCTACCTAGGCACCCTGGCGAAGGAGCGAGACGGTCTGCTGAGAAGCCCTTCCTTCGCACACGTTGTGCTAAATCGACTGAACCCCTTCCGCACACTGCTGAGATTCTGCAAGGAAGAGTGGCTTGCTGGGGAGTATTTGGAAAAAAGCACCCCCGATGTGTACCTTTCGCACACAGAGACTAATATATACCAATAAACAGCAGTGGTGAAAAAAGGTGTTGAAGGTAGGAGACAAAGATCCCTACCTAGATAAAAGAGCAAAAGATGTTCCATGTGGTTGAACTATGAAGCGCACTTCATTCAATAGCTTTTCAAAGACTCACAGACTGAAAATTGCATTTATGTTTTCATTAGTAATAATCATTAAGAATGTTAGTCTTTCACCATATAAGAATTACAGTGTCAGAGTACCTTAGAGTACATCCACTAAGAAGTTGGCTTTTATATTAGAGAAAAAAAGATAGTTCTTATTAAGTATTTTTTTATTTTGAACTACTATTCATAGAATTATAAAGATGTGATGTTTCTTTAATATATTGTCAAACAGCTTTGTTCACAGGATATATGCAAGGGTAAGTTGAAAATTGCCTGGTGTTTCCCTCTTATTTCTGGGTTCAACAACATGAACGTGGTCATGAAGTAGAGTGAAGTTGTTAGTGATGAGGATATATATATATTAACAGTGGAGCTGTGGCCTTCTTTGCATTGCCATCTTCCTGTCTCTATCTGTCTCTGTGTCGCCTTGAGCTCGCTCCAGCTCATTTCTTCCCAGGACTCCTTCTGACATCCTCCCCTGCCTTCCACAGCTCTCTCACTCAGGTCCTGACACTATGAAGACTTCCATTCCTCTCTCTCTCTTTGTCACAGCTTACCCTATACACTACCAAACGTAAGGTAGATAGCTAGTGGGAAGCAGCCACATAGCACAGGGAGATCAGCTCGGTGCTTTGTGACTGCCTGGAGGGGTGGGATAGGGAGGGTAGGAGGGAGGGAGACACAAGAGGGAAGAGATATGGGAACATATGTATATGTATAACTGATTCACTTTGTTATAAAGCAGAAACTAACACACCATTGTAAAGCAATTATACTCCAATAAAGATGTAAAAAATAAATAAATAAATAAAATATTAAAAAAAAAAAGAAGACTTCCAACATTCTGCCACTTTCAACACCTTTAACACTTCTCCCAGCTTCAGGGGAGTATGAGCCTTTATCATACTCTGTCCTAATCTTTCATTTTCTCTATCCCACACTGCAACTGAGCACTTTAAAAATCAGTTAGATGGGGACTTGCCTGGTGGTGCAGTGGTTAAGAATATGCCTGCCAATGCAGGGGACACCGGTTCCAAGCCCTGGTCGGGGAAGGTCCCACATGCTGCGGAGCAACTAAGCCTGTGTGTCACAACTACTGAGCCTGCATGCCACAACTACTGAAGCCCGCACACCTAGAACCCATGCTTCGCAACAAGAGAAGCCACCACAATGAGAAGCCCGCGTACTGCAACAAAGAGTGGCCCCCACTCACTGCAACTAGAGAAAGCCCATGAGCAGCAATGAAGACCCAATGCAGCCAAAAATAAATAAATAAATTTATTTTTTTAAAAATCAGTTAGATGATGACTTATCATTCGTTAATTGCTTATAGAAATATGTCAAGTCTCCACATACTTCTTATGTGCGCTGCAAGAAAACTGCATGTAAAAAGAAACAATTCATCTATGACTCAATTTTAAACACAGTAATAGGAACTTGGGTAAGATAACAGACATTGATAACATAATAGGGGCCCAGGGCTAATGTGAAAGTTTTATATAAATGAACTAATTTTAACTCTCATGATACTATTCCCATTTCAAAGATGGAGAAAACACACAGAGAAGTTAAGTCATTTCCCTAAGATCACACAGCTAGGAGGTTGAGGACTAGGAGTTAACACCCAGGTAGCAGGCTCCAACATCTCTTAATCACTATGCCATACTACTTCTCAGATGAATAGGAGCTCAGTAAACATTTATTGTTTGGTTCTTCGAGCAAAGTTTCAGATTCCTTGCTGTATTCTTTATTATTTGAGCATGCGTACAAATGCTTACAAGTTGTTTGTAATAGAACAGACTGATACTTGAATGTTTTTGCAAAATATCAGTATAGTGAGAACTGTCCAATGAAGTTTTTACAACACAAACAGTGGGAAAGAAAATGTGATGTAAATGTAAACATCCCTTTGTTGTTTAGTCTTTTCCTTTCTTGCATATTTTCAATCTGTTGTTATCATGAATGAGCGTAGCATGATCTCTTCTGGTACTTGGCCCCATTTATTAGACTTAGTGGGTCAACTTGATAGAGTTGAACATTTTACCATAGAAAGCCCCCCTTCCCATGGTGCTGCCTGGAACAAGATTTTATTTTATTTTTTTAAAGCTAAATGAGTTGAGGAAAGGCAAATTCAAAGCAAGTTTTCTGGGCAGAAGTGTGAAAGCAAAATTCAAGGTCAAGAATCTAGAATCTTCAAAAGAAAAGCTTTCTGGCTTATTTTCCTGCCTGGCCCAGCTTGACCGAGGGAGGGTTGGGGAAGCAAATAGAAAGGGAGGGAGGGAAGGGGGGGAAAGAAATGCTTTACGGAGCATGCGCAGTGCTCACTCTCCTTTTTTATTTTATTTTATTTTTTGCCTCTGTCCTCTCCATCTTTAGCAGTAGAGAAGCTGACAGTTCGGTTCCACTTGGCGCCCGGCATTTGCATTCCATTCCCCAAGTTCTCAGGAAAGGGTAAATAAAAAGTAACCTAAGAAACAGGTAAGGGTTGGAGCACATGCACTTCTGTGAATATCGAACATCCTCTAGCTATGCTTGCTGTTTGTTTCGAGGGCTGACATTTGATTCAGACACAAGGTTTCCCAAGAAGACCTGGGCTGGCCGCTGCGTCTGGCAGGAGGAGGGAGGGAGCCCGAGTGGGCGGCGAGACTGACTGCCTGGGCTAGGGATCCTCTTGCGGCTTCTTCAAGAAATACCTCTCAGAATTCCTTGCCTGGCCTCACTTCACCTCCTACAGGCGCGTAGGAACTAGCGAGATGTGGTGCTGAATAAAACTGAACTGCTGCATCAGCTGATCTTATTCTTCATTGCTTCTGGGTTTTCTGTTTGAATAAAATCTCCTCCACTCTCAAAACTTTACTTCTGAATTGTATAATGATGTTTCGTGGTTTAAAAAAAACTTTCTCTTCTCAACTTTTAAATAATTTTATTATCAAAGGATAATACACATACAACAAAATGCACTCATCTTAAAAGTATGGCTCAGTGAATTTTTACATATGTATATACCACATGTGTAAGAATAACATGTGTCTATTGTCCAGATTAAGATACAGAACATTTTTCCGGTGCCCCCTCCCGGGTGCTGAGCTAGCTTCACTGCCACCACCGACCCTGGTAACCACTATTCCATGTTCCATCACAACAGACTGGTTTTGCCTGCTCTTGAATCTCACATAGACTCGTGTAGTGTGTTCTATGTAACTGCTGGCTCTCATCCTACATAATGTGGTCCAGATGCATCCATGTTGCTGCAGGTAGCAGGCATCCATTACTTCTTATTCTGCGCGTGGTATTTCACTGTGGTATTCAGTATAGCACACAATATTTAGCTGACATGAACATATTCGTACATGTCTTTTGGTGGGCATATGTGCTGATTTCTCTTGGTTATCTGACTAAAAAAATTTTTTAGATCACAGGGAAGGTGTATGTTTAGTGATCATAAACATTACTAAAGAGATTTCCAAAGTAGCGGTATCTATTACCACCTATTGGCTCTGTATGAGCTCCATACATAGCCGTGAAATGTGGCCTTGTCATTCTTCTTGATTATAGCCATTCTGATATTTCATTCTGGTTTTAATTTCATTAAGCTCCTTTCAAAGTCTTGCCAGCCATTAAAATATCTTCTTTTACGAAGTATCATTCAAGTCTCTTCCCCATTTTTAAACTAGGCTGTTTGTCTTCTTTTTGTTTATAGAAGCTTCTTGTATTCTTGATATGAGTCCTTTAATGTGTGTGATGAATAGCTTCTCTCAGTTGATGGCTTGCCTTTACTTTCTGCAAATAGTGTCTTTTATTAACATTATTGCTTTGCATCCTATTTAACAAATCATTGCCTAACCAGAGGTTATAAAAATAGTCTACTATGTTTTCTTCTAAAAGCTTTAATAAGAAAGCTCCTTTTAGGTCTAGGTTTCATTTCTAATTAACTTTAGTGTGTGATTTTATTTATGAGTCAATGTTTATTTACTTCCATACTGATATAACCAATTTCTCTAGCATGATTTATTTAAAACACCATCTTTTTACCACTCAACTTATATAAATCAGGTGACCATATATGAATGCATTTTTTTCTGAGCTCTGTTCTCTTGATC